TTGCTTGTTCTGCAGACCAGAAACACACGTAATGAAAACTGTAATCTGTCAGTTTTGAGATTTTAGTTTTAAATGACAGGCATTTAACAAGAATGTTTTCAGGGGGCATTGTAGAGCAACAGCACCTCAGAAGATAGCAGCCCTAGCCTTTTGGCAGAAAGGCATGGTGCTGCTTCAGGAGGAAAGAATCAATCACAAATGGTGGATCACCTACCATTTTGTAGCCACTGAAATCTCATACTCCACAGAGATACACGCAGCCGACGATAGATGTATCTTTTCCTCTGTATTAGCTATGACATACATGGGTATAATACAGGTGATGGAAGCTCTAGTGACAAAGCAGAGGTGAGGGGTTCTAAATCAGCAATTTATAGGATGTAATCAAAGGAATCACACAGAAGAACTAGTGCATTTTAATCAGCAATATCCAGGAAAAAAAGCCTTATAAAAACAAATATTTCAAACACAATAAAACAGCTTCTGATGACTTATATATTCAAATTACAAAACTTGAACATTTGATTGGTATTAAAAGAAACACATACACCCTTTATGGCAGGCTGTTACTATATACTTTCACTTCCAGTGAAACTCCCCCCACGCATGTTTATTTACTTGCTCTAAACACAAGATTTAGACTGAGGAGATAGGAGTTCTGCTGAAATAGTTTAAGTAAACAAAACCTCAGCAGCAGCACTAGCAGAGCTCTTCCCACACCTCCCATATCCAGCCACGCATTGTGCCTATGCAGAGGCACCAAACTGGAGCACCCAGCCCTCTTTAGCTGGGTGGGCTTCCCTTGCTTCCTGTTCCTGTTCTTCAACAGGCCAATGCACATACAGCAGCTTTCTTTATGTGGCAGAGGATCAGCAGACCCAGACGAGATGCAACCAGGAGAAACAAGGTGGGCCACTAAGCCCGTGCAACTGTGTTAAGTGTTTTGCCTCATTTGAGGCATTTCAGCCTTGCTGTTTCAGATCTTTGCTGCCTATTCCCAGACACTCAGCCTGCTTCTAGCTCCCAGTACAGCACATTGTTGACACTTTGAACTTAACTGAGTTTTTTTTCCTCCAGCTATGTTGCCAATAGCACTAGTGCTCAAGATAGCACTTGCTCTTACACAATACTAATGTGCAGAGTCAAGAGGGGGTTTCTGATATGGATCACAGCAACCTCACCCCAAGAGGAAGTGTAACCAATGCAATCTCCACTTCCTAAGCTTAACTAGATTGTATTCAATAATAATGTTTATAAAAGCACTTGCTTAATTGCCTCACTAACAAACCCCAGCAAGCCATGCGTAATATAAGCTTACATCAGTATGGGATATCCAGGCAGTTAAAGTAATGATACCTATACTTCTCCCACCAGGGGTCTTGCAGATTTTTATTTATTTGGTTTTTGAAACCCAGTCACATTAGCACTCCTGTCATGCAAAGTTACATCCATAAACACAGTGATCCAGGTAAAGGGAACAGAAAGAGGACATTGCCAGAGAGATCAGGCTAACTTTAACATTAAAAAAAAAAAAAAAAAAAAAAAAAAAAAAAGATAAACACTAATTTAAAAAGTCAATTAGAAATATAAATAAATGGGCGGCAACAGCAAGGTCAAATATTTAGATTCAGAGCTGTGAATACTGCAGTTACCTAGGCAACATCTGCTTCTCTAGGTAGGCTTTAATCCTTTTAAAATGACAAAAACTGAAGGTTTTCAGAAATTGTTCAGGACTAATTGAAGCAATAATATATATTTTTAAAATATTGTCTTAAGGGGCAAGCATCATTTTATACACTAATGTGCATTTAAGAATTACATTTTTTTTCCATGGATTAATGACAAAAATACTTCTGAGCATCTGAAGTTATTGCCTAAAATAGCCACCGCAATTATTTAAATACTGTGAATATCATTTGAATGATTTCTTGCCTGAGATAGCTAGAGCCAGTCCATGGATGAGTTTTACTCATCTCGGTATCTTAGACTTCTCTGAAAATAAAAAAGCAAAGATTATTGCATTATGAAAATTTGCGCTAAAAAATAATCTGAAAATTAAGAGGCTCCAAGAGTGCCAGGCTGGCAAAGACCTATTCAGTTTCCATGTCCATTGAGGCCTGCACTGAAATATTTCAGAGTTAACAGAACAGTCAAATCAACTACCTCTTGTAACTTGTTTAATGTAGCGCTGTAGCCAGTGAAATTATGATTGAATTTGTTTTCCTTCAACAGTAAATATTTACTACCGTTAAAATCTTTCCAGCTTAAAATGAAGGTATTCAAAGACAAATTTGTATCTAGGAAGACAGATTACTACATTAAAATTCACTAATTTATTCTTGCTGCAAAATGAAAACAGTTATTGGATTTGACCGTGGAACAAAATGACATTTCTGAGGCATTAATCTTTACAAGATGTTAAATTACTCGTAAAACCTCGAGGAAAAAACAAAAGGAATTAGTCAGAGCATCATTTTCTCAAGAAATTAGAGTGACTGAGCAAATTGAACCACATAAAATGCTAAGGACATAATTCTTCAAGAAGTTTAGTGAAATACTCAGTGAGACCCTGTAACACAGCTGTCTTGTCATGGACATGCAATACGAAAAATCAGTGTCTTCTGACACCTGAAGTTTTGCATATTTACTGGTATTGAGCAATATGCTGTGATCTTGAAGAAATAAAACGAGAATATCGTGTGTGCTTTTGGAGCAAGGGAGAAGAAAGGATTCAACTGCATACATTTATAGACAGAATTCCCTTATTAAGTGGAAAACAGAAGCAGCTAATTCCGTATTTATATTAAAATATATTAAAAATTGACAAAAAAAACTTGGCTTATAGCTATACTGTTGATACCAATCCATTTGGATAATGCCTGTACATATCCTAAATCCTGAATAAATTTCATTGTTTGGCTGAACTTCTAAGCCTTAATTATTCACAACATTAAATTTGAGACTATAAGAGTCCTCACCCAATCACTATGAACTAGCTTTATTTTTCCATTATGAAGTGATTACACACCTGTCCTTTTTATCTACTTGTAGAAGTAGCTTTCTTGTTGTTACCCAAATGCAAATTACAGTTTTAAAACTGGCTTGCAACCATTTTCCAGTACTGCCATTCCATGGTTTGCTATTTGTTGACCAATTACTTCTCTAGATTTTTGTTGTTATTGTTTTAAAATAGGAAGAGTTTACGAAGTCTTTCCTTACCTGATCTGTTTATTTTCGTTGAAAGACTTCTCATTAAGTGTTATTTCCCATACCAGTGTCAACTGTTTAAACAGAACTAGCCAAAACAGTAAGAATTCTATTTGGGGAAAATATGGTGACTTCAGCATGTGTTTTTATGAGGTATCAGGTGGAAAGAGAGAGTCTTGAAGGGAAATATGTGAGGAGGAAATCAGGGAGGAACAACATTCCTCAGCTCTATGATCACTTATACACAAGGAAGAATGAGCCAGGTAGTGAAGGTACCCATCTGCTCTCTTCCTCCCACCCTGCTCTCCAACAGCAGCTGCACTCAATCACCTGACAGCCGCAAGCACACCAACATCAAAGATGGACAATTAGTGTCTTTGCTAATCTTCATTTGCTCAGCTGCATCCCCCAGACTAAAGCTAAACCACAGTTGCCTTCAGTTGTCAAACCACCAGGTTCCATGGGTATTTTAAAAGAAAAACCTGAAGCTATCCATTAACATTTCAGAGAAGCAAATGATGTTTATACAGAAAAGACATCCATCTCCTGAATTACAGCTGCTCTTTAAATGCTTTGTGCCTGCATAAAAAAAGTTCTCCTGCCCTTGGGAATGAACAGGCAGCACTCAGGACTGCTGCCAAGGCAGTCAAGACAGCTTCAGTTACAGTTCAGTGTAACAATCATAAGACTTTTTTTTGTCAGAACACAGAACAGAAGTCGTGTCAGCAACTTCTTTTAAATTGACAGTCCAGCAAGAGTGTGCCTGAACAAGGTAGGATATTTAAGAATCACAACAGTACCAGTTGCATTTTAATCTCATACACAGCAATGATTGGCAGATTGTATTTTCTTATATGTGCACAAGATTTTCCGTTTACAAGTACTCACCACCCACAAAAAGTCAAAACAAAAAGCTTTATAAATTGCAAATTAAGGCTGCTAAATGATGTTTAGTACTCTACCACCATACTATGTTAATCAGTACTCCAGAAGAAAAATCGTATTTCCTTCTTTTAAGTGGTGGTCTCCTTAAGCAATGTCTAGGGCATTTCTAGACACTCTTCTCCCTTAATCCATGGAATCAAACCTCTGTACAATAAGCTTCATAGTTGTACCAATTCCAACAGTGCCATCAGTCCACTTTACATTTACACTCATCAGTTACTCCTTACCTCTGAGATCCTACTGATCATCACTATAACCACTGAAGAGTTCTGCTGGAGGCTCATCCCACAACTTAGTACAGAGAGCTTGCAAGCAGTGCTTAAGCAAGACATTGGGTCTTCCTGGATGCAAAGCACAAGTTGAGAATCTGAAGCATCTAGTTTTACCTGTCTCACAGTATTGCCACACAGTTTTAACCAAACCAACACACAGCTATACCCAAGCAAAGCATTAACCACACACATCCTCTTTGGCTACCAGCAGCTTCAGAGGGTGTAGGTAAAGTTGGGTCAGTTACTGTGTACTTCAGAATTTTCAGACATTTGATTCTTGCTGAAACTGGTATAATGAATAAACATAAGCTTATAGCAAATAATTTTTACTATATTTCATGAAAAAGTTAAGACAGAACTAGACAAAAAAATTAAGTCTTTTGCACACACATAGATAGGAACCACCTGCAAGAAAAACCTGTCAGATCCAGCTATGTCCTCCACAGAAGAGATCTCAGAAAGCATGCTCCATCTCTTGGCTGCATTTCTGTCTTTTTGTACCACTTAAGAGCTCAGACACTTTATGCTGCTAAAAGTACCGTCCACAGTCGTCATGGTGGAAAGTTAATGAAGTTCAGAGATCAAATAGAAACAGCTGATTTTGTTTTAGCAGGGCTCATATGACAGAAACCAGACCTGCAGACAGAAGGTGCTATATATTGTGTAAACGGCCTACAGAAAGAATCGTCCTTCCCCCTCTGCTGCACCCCAAGATTTTTGATTCCAGCTCTTAGCTGCTAATACTTTTGCAATTAAATTTCTATGACATTTTTATGAGAGAAGTGGCAGAGGAATTATACCTTTCATGCAAATCATGTGTTTCAACTAACAACTTGATATTTCAGAATGTCACATTTCATGGAAAATTGTTGCTATTTCCCTCTCAGGCTGCTTTCAGCAAGAGTCAAAAGAATTACAAAATTAACAGGTTTGACAGAAATCCCAACAGAAAACCACACTCCAAGTCACCTATGGATCCTCCAATTCCCCAAGTCATTTACACTTCATACAACTGTTCAAAGCACTTTTCTCCCCAGAGCAAAGCATTCATTTCAAGTGCACTCCCGCATTTTCTTGTTCTAAGCCTGTCATTATACTAGCAACCACATGAAGTAATTTGTCTGCTTAAACTTACCAGAGGCATCTTCAACAAACCTCAAGGTCACCTTTGAGGTAGGCAGGCCCAGCACTCAGCTATGTTTGGTCAATCTGTGTAACATGGGGCAGCCTTGCCAGCCACTGCCCTCTCCTCACAGACCTGGGATGTCCCGACACCATGTTCTGAAATCCACGTTCTGTAAGATGTAGGTGCAAGGAGATATCGATCTGGAAAGGTCTTCTCAGCTTTGGCACAACACATCTACTCTGTCTATTCAAAGGTGCCTGGTATCTTTAAATAAAGAAGAAATTTCTTCCTCAGTTCAGGCCATCTATGTTGCATTAACACTTAAAAGCAAGCACACTTAGACTCCTTTTCTTGCTTGTATCAATTTTCTGGAGATTGAGCTCTTCCCCCCCCCTCCCCCCTCCCCCCGCCCCCCCCAAATCAGCTTCCCTTTACATATTAACTCTGAAAGCCAGTCAAATTCACCATGTACATCAATTCTAGTGGCTTCATGAGGACACAAGTTCGATAACAGCAGCCAAGGAAGGTCAAAGCACTGCGTGCAACTTCTATGGTAAAAATGAACATACATTGCTTGTTGTCTGAACCACAAGGCTCACCCCTTCTTTCCAAGGGCAGCCCTTAGGGTACTGCTACTGTCCTCCTTCCCACCCACTCCCAATTCCCAAAACACCTATTGCTTTGATTGGCAACAAATCTTCCAAAGAGGCTAAATTAAGTTCCCCAAGCCACAGTACTGAAGGGACACCAAACCATATTCACTCCATCAGTACTGAGGCTCAAGGGAAGGCCACACTCCCACCTCAGGCAATTTTTGCCAAGATGGAAGGTAATTCTCCACAGGTAACCCATACTTCAGAGCACACTAGCTGCCAGCCAGACAATTTTGTGCCATAACCTCATTAACCAAAAGATGCATCTACCTGTACAAAACGTAGCTTGTCCAGCACTGCATTTGGTACTGACTGGCAAGAACAACTCTTAAGACCAATCCTGCAGGTGTCACAGGAAGGCAAAAGCCATCCCACATTCAAGAACAAAGGTCTTCCTTGTTTAAAAAGCTCATCTTTTTCAGTGTTTTCTTATGCCTGTTCAGCCAGGTCTGTGGCAAAAATCTGGTGATTCTCACCATTTTGACGTTTATAGCACTCTGTCAAAAACTACATCATCTTTGCTCCTCAGCACATTTGTCACAAAACTAAGCTGCACAACACTGATAAGTTGGTAGGTCCTTCATCAAACACCTTTCAAAGGCTTCAGAAACCTTCAAATTTGTCATCTTAGTTTTGGACCCTATACCTGAGAATATGATTACTATCTCCTCCCCGCTCTTCAGTACTAGTCACAAACACAAAAATATAAAAAGGTAGCCCAATTCAGAATTCAAAACCTATTTCCACTACTTCTTTCTGGATCAGCTTTACTTTCCAATTTTCTGTAATTCTCACAGTGGTCAGGAAATAGCAAAACTAACTTTTAGCTTTAAGAAATTCCTAAATTCCTACACTACGTTACCCCTATTCCTTTTGGGGCATTGGGATTTCTTTCACTTTCAGGCAGTAGGTACACAACCCAGAATGGAAATTTACATTTAATTTGCTGTTGATGAAGCAGGCTGGGAAATAAATGTTAGTTCCTGATCTTTACAGATGCATTTATCTCCAGCACAACAACAGGATGTTTGGCTTACAAGGGTTTAACAAATACTGAATCTTCCAGATGGAGAGTACTTTGTAAGAACACAATGAACATCAGGGAAGATTTCATTTATAGATTTCTACTTACACTCTCAACACCGCATCTGCCTGCATATTAATAGCTTGTTCTTAAGTTAACTGTATATTTCAGTATTTCTGAAATTAGATGTGCCAGTTTATAGCCATTACTTTATTTTTCCCTTCTGGCATAAAGAGAATACAGCCTGGCCTTGTAAAGAATTGAGCTAACATTTCTGCATATTTTATTCAATCTCCTTTCAAGATTATTGGCTTGTAAAGTTCTCCCCAGCTATTAAAAAATCAAAGAAACATTGCAGTTTTAGCTTCTGCATTTGAGCCCTTAGGAAGATGGACTCAACAAGCTAAAGAAAAGGTTCTCTGTTATTTCTTGACACTTTTACCCTGGCAGCAGATATCTAAGCAAATATCTGAGCAGTACACCAAAAGAAATACAAACAGCGAAGCACTTGGTCTCTTTTATAGGGTTAACAATACACAGTGATTACCTCAGTTATAGAACTAGTTGTTTAAGTTGAAGAATTAAGCAGTGACAAATACATAGGAAAAAGAACCTAGTACCTTCTGACTCTCAGATCTCAAAATGATAAAGATTTGGTAATACATAGCCCACATTCTCAAAGCTCTGGTCGCCAGAGTTAAATTCAGGTCTAAGTTTCCATGGCTGTCTTCTCCATTGTGGTCTAGAGAAAAGTGAGACAGAAGTTTGAAACATACTGGTTGGTAGTCACTTGAAGCCTGAATAACTTGATTTTTGCCTTTCTAGACAAGAATTAGAAGTTTTGAATAATGCAGAATTAATTCTTTAAATTCTCTGGTGAAAAAAAAAAAAAAAAAAATTGCAGTTGTCTATACTAAACCCAATGAGTGGGCAAAACAACTGAGCGGTTTGTTTGAGAGCAAGGTTGCAGAAACATTATATTTTTTCACATTAAATACAACATGCCTGAATTTTATTTGGAATGACCACATAATAGGTTTTCAGTTACAATTAAGTGAGAGGGGAAGAAAAAAAAAAAAAAAAGAAGTCTGCTTAACATTCAGTTAAATTCATATCCTTTTGCAGAGGAACAGTATTATAACGTTAATCTACACTTTTAAAATTCTACTTGCTGAAGCATTGACAAATTGCTCTCGTGAAAGCACAGAGATCAGCACACAAATTTAACGGAATTCTTGATCAAGTAATCACTTTCACAGCACTGAATATGCAGCCCAACAGGCTAGGAAAGGCATTAGGTCTTTACATCTGTTGTAGAAATAACTGTTCTTTAGAACTGCTCACTTCAGTTCTTATGTAAGCAGAATACTCTTCAAAGGGAAATAAAAGTTTATCAAATGCAGGCTAAATAAAGATCAGAGAACCTGAAAAATCTTTGATATTTTTATCTCTCTCTGCACCACAGAAGATAAAGCCTACATCACAAGTCACTTTAGTAACCTCCCAGACAAACAGCAGAAACATTTTCTAGATGAGGATCCTGGTCATGAGGAAAAATGTTAACCTCTTGAGAAAAAGAAGATCAAATAAGAGATGTGAATAAGAAAACGTTCATCACAGCAGCAATAATATATGTGATGACAAGCACCCAATTCTTACCTCCCATGGGACTGGAGATCATAGTGATTTATTCAACACCTTCAGCAAACAGAGCCCCAAACTTGTCCTCAGCAGTGCAGCTACTCCTTAAAGTCTTTTCCTTCCACTCCCTATCACGCAGAGAAACGCTACTAACATGCTTCCACACCAAACACCCCTTCTCTCCACCCCCTGAAGACTTATCTAGTTTCTCCTACCTACATGTAGTTTATGGCTTCAGCTGTCATCACTCTCTCAGATCAGACATCACCACCAACACCTGAACAAATTCTGGACATCAAATTACACCTCACGAACACCTTTAATCAAATTATTTATATGTACTAATTCTGTGGCAGTACCTATGGATTATCAGAGCCTATCTCGTTCTCTGCATTCTGGAATGCTTTATTTGCCTCCAGAAATTTTTGGGGAAAATCAGGGGATTATAGGGTGAAAGAGCCCTATCTTACTCTCAAACCTGCATTTTAAGGCAAACATGCTGTTTATTGGGGGGGGGGGGGGGAGAGTCTTACTCCTGTTTTGATCCAGCATTTTATTGAATACGTTATTTGAAAGGTTTTTTTCCATTGAGAAAATTATATCTACCAAGAGACTTCCACTTCCATCCCCTCCATTTTTCTTTGCCAAACAAATTCTTAAACAGCAACACATTTGGGTTAAATATTTACTTTTCAACAAATTGGTGACTTCAAGTAGAAAATTTCTGTTGATATCGATTGCCAATATTGCAGCAGAGGTTATGAGACAGGAACACAGTGTGCTTGATGTTGCAGGTTCTTCTGTCATACCATGCTCTACTTCCATCCTGTATGGAACAAGGTGTGCTTGCTCATTTGTATACTCTATAAATACAACTTTATAAGCAAATTATGTTATTTTTCCACTGCTACCTGCATTTTTTACCACAACCAAATTCCAAGTCAGTGGAACAGCTTCCGTTTCTTTAGGCTGGAATTGGCAGAAATACAATGTGTATTTCACAAGTAGTCCCTGACTAGGTGCACTTGCTGTACCCTCAAGAAAACGTTTTTTAGACATCAAAAGATATGCACAGATCTGTATACACTGTCTTGCAAATGCTGGATCTTTTTACTACAACTTACTTTGCTGAAGAAAACAACTAGGATTTTGTTACTTCTTAATCAGGCACCGACTTTTCTTATGCCCTATTAACTTACACAATTATTCCTTCTGACGAAGATATTTTAAAAAACATTTTTAATTCAAAAGGCAAACTAAGTTTTCAGGCAAATATGTAGAGAAAGAACTTATAAAGAAAAAAAGTTAAACTGATTAATTTTCATGTTCAGATAGTTTCAGCAGTTTGAGGCATCTCTAGAGTTGTCTGGACTGGCTTGCTGGAAGTTTGCCCTCCTCTCTTTCAGTGTATCTAGATGTTATCTCAACTCCCTTCTCACAATCTCATTACCTCTGGAAGCAGATATCTGGTCACAACTGACATTGTGAGAAGCAGCAGTGTAGAGACTGAAGCATTCTTTCAGCATCTAATTCAATCAAAATCTGAAGGCTGGTTCCCAGAGGTGAGAAGTTCTTGAATTAACTTACAATAACTGCAAATCTGTTTGTTTGTTTTCTTAATTTGCTTCACTAGGTAATAAAAGCCACTTGTCAAAGACAATTACTAATTACTGATATGTAATGGCAGTAAATAATGAATAGATGAACGATTTTATAATTTGGAAAGACATTTTCCCTGGAAAAAATAGTTTGCCCTATTCCAGGTGGAACTTTCAAAATCAAACTTCCTTTAGGACTTCTTTTTCCTTCTCCACATCTTTGTGTATATATATATGTGTGTGTGTGTGTATATTTAAAAAAAAATAAAAGTTGTGATTATGGTCTTGCAGTTTCTTTAAAGGATGTTTCAATACAGTCCTCTTATAATTTTTGTAAAGCATTACAATCCGTTACATTCTTTCACATAAACAAATAACAAAGACGAGCAATCCTAATATCAAAATCTCAGAGTGGTGTCTGAAGCCAAAGAAAGAAGCACTAAATGAAAGTGGGATATTTCCTAGAACACTGTTAAAAAGAAAGAAAGAAAGAAACAAAGAAAGAGAGTGAGAGAGAGAGAGAGAGAAAGAGAGAGAGAGAAAGAGAGAGAAAGAGAGAGAAAGAGAGAGAGAAAGAGGAGAGAGAGAGAGAAAGAGAGAGAGAAAGAGAGAGAAGAGAGAGAGAGAGAGAGAGAGAGAAGAGAAAGAGAAGAGAGAGAGAGAA